ACTCTTAGAGTTATCGTATTTGATTTTGTGTTGATAATTTCTGAGGCTCTTAGTTACTTTTTCTGTCTTTAGGTGTTGTGACAGCATTTTCTTCTGGCGTTTCTCCTAATTCTTTGGCCATTTCTTTGTATTTTTTTTTAAACATTCTAAAATTATGGAATAGAATATATATCCACAAACGTGCATGGAAAATGTACACAGAGTTTTAAGAGAACATAAAGTTTATATCTGTGTAACTGACATCCAGATCAAGAAATAGAATATATCCGTGACTGGAAGATCGCCATGATCAGTTCGCAATCAGGACCACCTTCCTTCCTTTGAGAGGTAACTTCTAGTCTGAGTTTTTGATAATCATTTAGTCTGAGTTTTTGATAATCATTTCTTTGATTTTCTTTATACTTTTACCATGCGTCTGTGCATCCCTAAACTATACAGTTTGATTTTGTTTCTTTTTGACCTTAGAAATATGGACTAATTCTGTCGAATATTTTGTCATGTTTCTTTCGTTTCACTGTGAGATTAATTTGTATTGTTGAATGTAGCTGTAGTTCCTTGGTTTTCCTCACATATGTGTAATATTCTTTTGTTTGAATATTCTGCAATTTTATTGTTGAATCGTTGATGGAAATTTGTATTTTTCAACATCATGACAGTTGTGAGTTGTCATGGGAATATACCTAGTAGTAGAAATTGTTGGGTCGTAGGTATGTGTGTATTTGATTTTACCACTAATACTAAGTTGTTCTCCAAAGTAGACATAACAATTGACATGAGCATTAGTTAAGGATGAGACTTCTTGGTTGCTCTACATCTCATCGATCCATGGTATTATTAGACTTTTCCATTTTTTCTAATTAGTTGCTCTACATCTCATCCCATGGTATTATTAGACTTTTCCATTTTTTCTAATTCGGTAGGCGTGCATTGGTATTTCATTGCTATTTTAATTGCCTTTCCTTGATTATTAATGAGATTGAACACTTGTCCAAATACTTACCGGCCTTTCGTTAAGCTCCTCGTAAGCTTCTTGCCTGATTTGTAGGTGTTTTTTATATTTTTTGATTATTAGTTGTTATGTAGGTTGCAGATATCTTCTCTCATTCTATAGTTTTTCTTTATATTCTCCTTTTTGGGTCTTTTGATGAAAAGGAATTTTTTCTTTTAATGTAGGAAAATGTATCAAGTTGAAGATTTATGGTTATTGCTTATTGTGTCTTTTACCAAAGTGTTATACTTCAGGGGGCACCTGGAGTAGTGTGAGATTGTGACACTCCATTCTCTTATATTTTTTAGAACTTTGTAGTTTTGCTTTTCACTTTTACTTCTTTTTTCCATCTGCCGTTGAGTTTTGCATGTTTTTCGAGGTAGGGGGTCAATTCCTTTTTTTGCTATATGAATACCCAGTTGTCCTCGCACCATATATCAAAAAGTTCTCCCTGTATTCACAGGTCTAAGGCACATCTATCACATATCAAGACTCCGTCTATGCGTGGATCTGGTTTTAGGCTCTCTGTTCTGTTCCATTAGTCTATTTGTTTGTCCCCATCTTGAGTCCCAAGGTCTTGCTGTAAATTTATAAGAGTTAATGCTTGTGGGAGCATGTCTTCTCACTTTCTCACTTTGTTGTTATTCAAGGGTATCTTAGCTATTTTTGGGCTTTTGAGTTTTCAAGTACATATCAAGGTTAAGGTGGTCTTACAAAATAAGTTGGGAGTGTTCTTTTCTGTTTTCCAGAAGAGCTTTTTTAATGCTGAAATTATTTCTTAAAGGTTGGTAGAATTTGCCATGAATGAATAACATCTGGTATTAGACAGGTTCGTGTATATATATGTGTGTGTGTGTGAGTGTGTGCATGTGCACATGAACATATATGTGTTTGAAAGATTTTTGATTATAGATTCATTTTATTTAATGGTTATAGGACTTCTTGGGTTTTTTTGGTCGTCCGAGGTAGTTCTCTGGTTAACTTTTTAAAAAGTATTAGAACAGTTCATATATTTTTCAAATGTATTGGTGCATTAATGTTCGTATTCATTATTACTTATTTAATATCTGCAGCATCTATAGTAATGTCCCTTTATTATTCCTAATTTCGGTTATTTGTGCTTTCCCCGCT